CTCTTCTCTTCTTCTTTTTCTTCTTACTCGGGTCCCCTCTTAAGAGAAATGAGAGGCTATTTATAATTTTTGAGGATGACATGATCCGTAAATAGGAGAAGGATCAAGGACAAATGGGGAGTGGTTTGGATGGACGACCGATTTTGAATCCCTTGATCATGGACCATTCGTCGGACATTTGAAGGTCTTAATGATATCAGAATTCAGCGATCTTGGGTTCATTGGATTTGTCTCATCGATCCGCTCGATTCGACTTGAAGCATGTCATGTATGGAAACCGTTTGGTAATCCAAATTGTGGTTTGAACTTTCCAACAGCTCTTCGGGTCTTCGATTCAGAGGCATTTGGGCTCATATTGAGTTGAATTTGATTCGTTGGGTCCGTATTTCCGATACGCTCAGTTCAACTATAAGTTTGCTGAAATCGGAGTTCAGATGATCTCAATTTTAATTTTTGAAACTTCCGACCTGATTTTTGCCTCAAGATTTGTGCCCGATCAAGATACTTTTTTGATGATATATCAATTATATTCATCTCAAAAGAATTTAAACTTTTCAAAATTCATCCTAATTAAATTTTAAGAGACATCTAAATAAAGGCTATCAAAAATAAAGAAATTTCTAAAAAATAATAGCTTACTTCAACAATATTATCAAGTACTAAAAGAGACTATTATAATGTCCTAAATAAAGGCTTTCAAAAAAAGAAAAAAGATCCATAAGATTCTTTATTGATTGTTGATCATCCATATTAGAAGTTGAAATATTATTTACATAAATTCATGTAATTCTTATAAATTATTCTACAATTAAAAAAAAAAAGATAATAACATTATAGAAAGATAAAAGTGAGAAGTACACAAATTTTCCACAACAGATAAGAAAAAAATGAGAAAGATTTCTCTTCGACTGTCTTATTCTCCACATCAGTTCTCATCTTCATAATGATTAGTTGTAGTCTTTAATTGATAAAAAAGTCCCCCTCAAATTTAAGAAAAAATTCTATAAGATGAAAGTGCGACCTGCAATGTTTTTTGGTGTTGAAAATTGGTCATTAAAAGAGAAGCATAATACTAAGTTAAATGTGCAGAGATGAGGATGCTTAGGTGGATGAGTGGTTTTACCCTTAGAGATAGCATACGAAACGAGCTTATACGTGAAAAGGTTGGAGTAGCCCTAGTGGAAGATAAGATTAGAGAGAGTCACCTTAGATGGTTTGGTCACATAAAATAGTGGCTTTCCGACGACCCGGTCAGGAAAGTAGAGGTAATATATTTGACTTATGTTAAAAAAGATAAAGATAGACCTAAAAAGACTTGATTAAAAAATATTAGAAATATTTTTTATTTATTAGATTTAAACAAGAATTTGACATTTAACATGACACAATGAAGAAAAATGATTCATGTAGCCGACCACACATAGTGAGACAAAGACTTGATGATGTTGTTGCTGTTGCTGTTGTTTATTCATCTGAAGTGTAATCAATTCATATATACCTCTTTAAAATCTTGATGAATAATTAATATCGATACGGTCGTGAACATAAATGAATCATATAAAATTATATCTTATAGTTAGATTATTTGATATGATTATGCTCTCATTTTTATGAAAAATGTTGTCACTATCCTAACAATATGACCCTATGAAATGATTTAGGCTGGATACTCATATCTTGATTAATGATTATCCATCTAATGTTGATTGCTTCAATTTAGTGGAGCAATAGAGGAGATTCCTCTGTTAGGTAATGACAAAATTAATAGCCTCACCTTAATTATTTTTATTATGAGGAAAGCCATCATCAAATATTAATATCTCCTAAAATCATGAGCGAAGCACACGTGTTAACTTTTTGGCCAGGCACTGAGCAACATAAAGACTACAGCAGTACATTGGATTTGACCGATTATTATTTTTTTATTCTTAATTGATAAAATAAACAAAAGTAACAGCACTACTATATAGACAAATCAACGGCTATTATTAAAGCAGTCGTTTAGTTTATCCCTGCCATTACGTTTCACTTTAAGTACAAACCATAGATGGTTAGTCATAGCCTTTATTTTATTTTTTTGGGAAAATTATGAGCTTAGTCCATTTTCATTGAATCAAATTAGTAACAAGTAAGGTAAGAAAAACAAAATAAAAAGCCTAAGGTGCAATAGCACAGACCAAAAAATAGGGGAACAGACAAAAAAACCCCCTTACAAAGAGAAATTACAAAGAGACTGAATACATCAAAAAGCTACAAAAAATAGTCATAAAAAGTAAACCCATTCCAGGAGTGAAAGATTTAACCACCGGGCTCAGGAATTGCAACTTTCTCAACCTGGTTGCTAGAAGAATAACTGCCATAGTGATACTGCCGTCCAAAGGAGAAAAAAGCAATTCAATCATCCTTGCCCACCAATCGTATAAATACTGACTGTGTAACAAACAAAACAACAACAACATAACCAAGAGGAAGCCACAAGCCAACCAACTGAAAACCAGCACAGAAAACCAACCATAGCAGCACCAGACATATGAAACATCCTCTTATAACAAATCCATAAGCAAATAACCATTTTTCCATTTCATAACCTTAGAGAAGACAACAACTTTCATCTTATGAGCTAAGGTAGTAGAAGACACAAAAATCTTGTCAAACCTCCTATCATTCCGTTCTCTTCAAATATGGTATACCGAGTAGCGAATAATGAGGTAGTAAAATTCCTTGTTCATATGATGCATCTCATCAATAAACTCAAAAATTTGTAATATATTTGGCCTTAGAAGCAGAGACCCCAAATTGCTCATAAGTTTAGATAGGACAGAGAAAGAATAGTTACATTCAAAAAATAAATGGGTAACAGATTCATTTGTGCTATGACATAAAGGGCATAATGCATCCACAATAATACCCTTAGCTATGAGAACATAGCCTTTATTTGGATTAATTAGTTTGTGGGGACGCCGAACGTCATCCGAAGACCAATCAGAATACGCCACATCACCTCTTGCTTGGTACCGCGGCTCAGTACCGCGGTTCGGTACCACGGCTCATTACTAGTGACCAGGCGCATTTTGGTAGGTCTCCGTACGGCATTCTAAGTCTGATCTCCATACAAAATAATTTCTCCTTTATTTGAGACAGCTTTCTTACTGCATTCTAAAGCAGCTTTTTAGTTCAAACTTTTCAACTTCAAAAAATGTTATACTAAAAAGCTATAAGAAAACTATCCCAAATGAAGCTATAATATCAAATCTAATGCCCGGCCAACTTGAATTGTCGGGTCTAATTAATAATGCTTGTGCAACATAACACACTTTGGTTTGTAATTTTGGAAATTGTTAGGGCACAATGTGTTACTTCTCTATCTAATTATACTTAGGTTCAAAATTGAGAGTCATTTCAAGATTGTATAAATAAATTCTCCCCCAAAGAAAAGATTGAATAAAAGTTTAGCTCTAGCCAAGCTTAAATTGTGCCAAAAAACATATACAAATAAAAATAAATTGAGATGTTATTTTTCTTTAAAAAATCAACAGGCACCTCACATATATTGGTCTGTTGATTAGTAGTTTTTGACTATCAACTAAAAGATTTTAGGTTCAATGCTTGCGTATGTGTTATGTATTTGAGTGTATTTTAATTGGACTAATTCTCTCCAAAAAAAAAAAAAAAATCAACAAGATATATATAGATAATCTCATTCGTCCTTTTCGAAGAGCGAAGGCGACATGACCTCGAGAATTACAAGTATTTTTATATAATGTATGATGATTTATTATAAAAATAACTTTCAAATTACTTGTAAAGATATCAAGGAATGCAGAAGCTCAAGATGCTCATTGGAAGCTTGTTCAAAAGGATAACTAAGAGATTTTGTAGAGTATTGGTCATGCTTTACTTGATGGTTAGGTTGTCTATATCGTAAACTGTTTTCCTGTTTACCAAAAACAAAAACAAAAAAACAAAAAATGTCAATGGAATGAAAATCCTTATAACGACATAATTGTCCTTCTAGCGATTGATTCGATTAAGATGGATATATATTCTGTTCTAATACGCTTTGCAGAAGATGAACATAGCTCCGACGATCAGATCCACCACTTGTTTAGGTTCTTCAACAAAAGCAAAGAAACAAAAACTGATCACTCTTAGGCTTCGTTTGGGAAGCTATCTTTCTGCTTCTTAAAGTGGCTTTATAGTACAAAAATTAAAATATATGTACTAGAAAGTGGCTTTAAGAAGCAGGAAAAAAGCTGTCTCAAACGAAGCCTTAGGCTTCATTTGAGATGACTTTTTAACTGCTTCTTAAAACAATTTTTAATACAAATATTAAAAATTTTATACTAAAAAGCTATTTAAAGAACCAGCAATAAAGCCGTACCAAACAAAGCCTTAGTAATAAGAGGAGATCAGTGTTTTAGAAAACATAAAAAAAGCTGTCCCAAACAACCCAAAAAATATATAATAACAGCGTTTTGTGCTTCAAGGTTGTCGACCTGCACAATAATGGCATGACCTCTGGTCCAAAAGTAAAGAGTTAAGAATATATAATAATTAATTCATTTAAATTATATTATTATATTCTACGGTCACAAGAAAAAAATTAGCCATCTTATTTGAAATTTATGGCATGTGATTTCATAAAATATTAAGATTATATCACCAATAGATTTAATAAAAAGAATTTCAATGAATTACTCCATTCGCATGAATAAATAATTATTATTTAAAAACATGAAGAATTTAGCATAATGAGTATTGATGATATTTGGAGAGTATTCCCTAATTTTACTTTAAAAATAAATAAATAAAGGTATATTGAAAAAAAAATGGTAAATATCATAAAATTAATATATTTTTTTCACCATCTCAATTATTTAAATTATTATAAGATTTACTGAAAGCGAATGTACAAATATTTTTACGAAATAGATCATAAACACAAGCATAGTCACTAAAGATCCTAATATTTATATTATTATATATCAAAAAAGCAAAGACAATTTAAAGAGAGCAATGTCATAACAAAGAGGAGATCTCGCAACATAAATATATGATGTTCTCCAACAAATCAGTTTTTCTTTAGGCAAATATGTTTGGAGAACACTGTAAGTAAACAAATACATAAGATGGAACCATCCGCTCGGAGAGTATGAGGAAAAGAAAGCAAAAAAACCAGGAAATAAAAATCAATAAAAGAAAAAAAGGTATCGCAAAGAAAAAGAACAAGGAAAACAAAGAAGATATTACCTAACATTTACACATGGATTCCTCTTGCCCTTCACAGAAAAGATTTTATGATTTGAAACCCAAGCTCGGCCATCTCTTGGTCACCTCTTTCTTCATCCTGTTTGAAGTGGAGACAAAAAGGTTTTCAAGGGATTTTTGCTTTGTGTTCCTTGATCTGCCTGCTTCTTTCAAAAGCTCGGCGAGCCGCCGCCGCTCGTCTTCAACGTCAGGGTTGGCTGTCCCTAGTTTTTCTTCCCTGACCTTCACCACATGCTCCAAGAGCTCGATTGCTTCCTCTACCCTGTCATTCATCCACCATAGTTAGCAATGAAAGAGTGTTTCATTTCATCACTGAAACTTATGCAAAAATCACTCATTGTTCATAATTTGATGAATGACATGCCTGCACAAACTTGAAGAAAATATGGGATAGCACATACATTATCCACTAAAACTGAGAGATTATTCTGTGCGGACACCGGACACAGCTTACCGTCCAGAGACAAATCAGGTGCAGCCACATCATCCAGTACCGAGTAGGGGGAGAAGTGGCGCATTTTTATTGGGCTTTGGACAGCGTTCGGCGTCCGCACATAATTCATCCTTAAAAACTGGGGATGTATAGTATACTCATTATCATAATACCACTCACACTTATCAACTAAGCAAAATAAATCTAGAAAGCATGACCTTTCAAGCATTCAAATCCATTAAGTTACCAGGAAACAGAGCTCGACTTAGAAAACCAGTTAGTGATAACATTTCATTAGCCTGGATGATGAGTTGCTAATGCTTTCAAAGTAAAAAGTTCATAAAATATAGCAATTCTGAGATCCAAACATGGTTAAAGCCTCTTCTTACAGAGTTTCCTTCTTTTACTGAATAAATATAAGTTATTTCGAAGAGTCAATTTAGCTATCCACGAAGTAGATCGAGGGAAAGCAAGCTCCTCCCTGCAATCCCCAATTTCCTTCCATGTCTACCAACTTTTAAAAAATCTAACAGAAAAGCATTCTAAAATCCACTTAAACGAACTCTAATCAGATAAAGACGCTGAAGTTACAGAAATGACAGGACATAAAAGAGGAATAATCCTCCATAAATGCCCCAACAAGCTATATGAATCCAGTTGATTTGCTACACGAAAAAATACGAAAAAAAAAACTGCACGCCAAGAATTTAATATATTTCTTCCGAACAAGAGAGAACTAATATTAAGGAGACCTAACTGGTTTTTTTCTGTCCCCAACTATAAACTCAAATGATTTAGTTTCCATCAGCTTTACATTGAAGTTCAATCCAACGGAACTATAAAAATCATAATACATGCTTTAACATGCATAATTTAATAAATGCTTTAACATGTTTATATATTTATTTATTTATACACTATAAAAATTAGTTATTTATTTATTTGTTATTAATAAATGCTTTAGCATGAATAATTTATAGATATACAATAATAATGTGAATTTAATACATAATTTATAGGCATGAATTATAGCTACACATATACCATAAATTATATTAAATTTATAAATTTATATGTGAACTAAATTTATATTAAATATGAATTAAATTTAAAGATTGAAGGTGTTTAAATTTAAAATTATAGAAAATATTATTAATTTATGAATTCAGTTTATTTTTTTGTCAAAATTTTCTATTATTATATGATTATTACATTATTCTTATTATGTCATTTAGGGTTTATCTAAATAATTTTCATATTTATTACATCATTTGGTTCAACCACCGATTCGACTCCGGTCAAATTATTGAATCTTGAACATCTCCTTCTGGTTATACGTCAGGTTCAATTTTCACAATCTTAAGGTTCATCACAGTTCCATTGATTACTATGATAAGTAGAAGAATTTGGTATATATATATATGATGAGGTCATCGACAGACATTTTAGGCAGGTTTGCCGGCGAAGGAATCGTAGATCGACGGCTACGATTGGGAGCTTATATTTCTGATGTTGCCATGTCATCTTATGTTATCTTCTATGTATCTTTTATTTCAAGCCTTAGTTTACTATTTTGCCCTTATGAAGGTTTAGTCTTTGTTGTATTCCGGTGGGCATTTGAGTCATGTTATTTTCATGTAATTTTCTATTAATGAGGCCTATATAAAGAGGTCTCCTCTTATTGTATGAGCTTAATGTTTTGATTAATAAAATTCTGAGATTTTCATTCTTCTTTTCTTGCTTGAGAGCTTAAGAGAAAGTGAGGAGACCTAGGAGAGGCTCCACCCGAAATACCCAATAGCCCCCGTGGTGAGCTCTTGGCTTTACTTTTACTTTTGTTGTTTTCTTTTTCCCCGACCATCTCCCTGTACACCCGCCCCCTCCCAATGCCGCCGATCCAGCCGTTTTTCCCCTGAACCCGTCGATCTTCCCCCTCCTTCCCTCCTTGCCGACGACCAAGCCAGCAGCCGGCCCCCAGATCCCGCCGTCCATCACACGCCCAGCCTCCGTCCACTGGAGAAATCTCGCCGGCCCCCCTTCATCTTTGGAATTTGAATTTTTCAATAACACCCTCATGAATTCTTTCCTAAATTGCTTACCCCCAATTAAGAACGAATTTAATTGAGGTTCAATTTCGTTTGAATTCAAATTTCAAATCCCCCTCTTCTTTTCTCCATTAGGAAACCTTCTCTAATTGATTAAAATCTGAAATTTACAATCAGGTTTTAATTAAATTCGTGGGCCCCATTAATTAACAAAATTTCCCCTCTATTCCCCTTGCTTGGCCGGCCACCCATCTAGCCTCTTCTCTCTCCACTTGCCACTTAAGCATTCACTAATTAACCTCTTAATTTTTCCCCCTAATAGCCGCCCCCTCTCTCTAACACAATTTAGGGAGATTTTAATAGCAAATAACCTCTCCCTCCAATCCAAGAAAATCTGAAATTCAAATTCATATTTTCTCCTTGCCTCTCCCTAGCTCACGGCCAAACTCCCCCTCTCTTTTCGTCTCCCCATCCCCACTTCAATGTTGAATGGCGGATCCTGAATTCGTTATTTTTTATAACAAAGCATTTCGTATCCTATCTCTAAGGGAATTGAATGCTACTATCATCCAAGTGTTGGCACAATAAGAAAAAAATTAGAAGAATAATAATAAATAATAATAATAATAATAATAATAATAATAATAATAATAATAATAATAATAACATTTTAAAACAGCCTAAATGAATGCAGCCCAAACCTGGTCAACTAAATTGAAGACCCCATATTATTTATCATTGATTCAAACGGGTTTCAATGATCACCTCATTACCATTAATATGGGTCTACATACACAGGGAGTGATTTCTTTCTCACCAGCAATTGTGTAAGAATGAAACTTGATGGCAGCTTTTCAACTGACATTGAGAGTAGGCCAAAGCAATTGTTGAGTGAATTTGATGTTGTAAGCATGCTTAGGATGTCATTCCAATTATCAAAGATAGACAACGGATCCATTTGAGGAAGCTTTTTTCAATTTAGCTCTCTAAAAGGATATCAAAGTTCTTTGGGCTACAACTTCATTGGTACAACCACATATGATAGAGTGTAATGGCTATAAGAAAATTTTATATAACATTTTAAAAAAGAAAATAAATTATGATACCCATAGCAACTTTAAAAAATTTGTTTTCCCCACGACAACTCTTCATCTTTTTAAAAACTACAACCACCTCAAATATACTCAAAACTTTGCCGACAATATCAAAGTCCCCTCTGACAAGGAGGAGAAAAAGACGATCCGCAAATACATCTTTGAATGATATAGCAAAACTATACTTGAATCTAAAATTGCAACAAAAAGAAAGTGAAATTTAACTCATGCGACACATGTTGATAAGTTTGTTATATGTAATAAACACTCATTTGATACGCATAGATGTGCAATGATTGATTGTTCAGTATTTGACTTAACATGAATGTTATCCATGGTTGAATAAGTCCCACAATTAAATATAAAATAAATATAAACAACCACAACAATTTATAAAACTTAAATCTTTAAATTTTATATTAAAAATAAATAATCCTCAAACATAAATCAACTCAACCAAATTGTTTCATAAGTGTGTAAGCACATTAAAATTTACTTGAAAGATGTGAGTAAATATATTGAGGCATTCTTGCAAGTATCCCAAATAATTGTAAATCTTATTCATATTAATGCAAATGATACATGCCAAATGCGCTAATATATGCAAAGCACATTAATACCCCTCGGACCTCAATTCAGATGCACCTTTGTCAACATAATTGATTGAGTAGATAAGTCAAAAACCCAAGTTTGACATTATTGATTCTCAATTGATATAAGGGTCCTCATGAGTTCGCAGTAGTCGGATCATCTAGTCTAAAGCACGCGAACGTAAGACCCATCTTTATAGGTCATCATTTTACATTCATAACAACTCATATCAAACCCCATTAAGATGCATTTGGGAGAATTATTGCACTGGTTTACAAATTGCAATTATACTTCTGTTTGGCTACAAGTTTCTTATTGTTTTTCAAAACCTTTTATGGTGAAAATTATAGCTTTTAACAACAAAGGCTCATTTACTCAGAGACATGGCACCTCCGCAATTCATGAGTTTTAACTTTACTCGAAGAAGTGTATATAAGACGCATGTTTAAGTTTTAGTTTGTGAGGTTTTAACCAGGGGATTTGATTTTTACTGGCGAGCTTGTTAGCTTGAAAATTGACTTGAGTTTTGGTTAGGTTGGGGCATAGGACTATCAAAAGGCCTAAGGTTTGATTGAAAGGGTTATTTGTTTTTTTGCACTGTTGGTAATGCCATGTCTCTGAGTTTTTGTTGGTGATGTTCGATAGTACTAAACTACAAGCGACTATGTTGCATAACCCTTAAACTATTTAGTGAAAACTAATAATGCAACCCTCTGATAGCAAGTGAGTTAATGCCAACTTTGAGAGCACATCTTTAATACATCCACATTTCCACCCTAATTTTGCTTGGGATACTAAAGAGGCAATCCATGATTAGTTAGGCACCCTGAATGTTTTGGCTCAAAGCTCTCTGATGTTTAATAGAATAGGTACACATGTACACCCAGGATAATGAAAGTATTGGATTTTGACTGGATATACCTACATTATCATAATCTTTCCACATTCAATTAAAGTCAAGTGTTTCTACCAAATCTAAACATGAAATAGAAAAACAAGCAACCTCCATAATCGAGAGTGCTCTATCGTGTGAAAAAAGGGCTATTAATTATAACAGATTTAACTAATCTACCTCAACTTAAAATTAATTACCCTAAAA